ATTAATAACTTTTAGGCAAGGATGAGGGTGAATCATGTAAATTTCACCGTACTGCAGTGCATGCAAAAGACACATCTGCTGAAACTTCCACTTTGGTTGGCAAAGATTTTATAATCAGTAACCCCTTGTCATTGGTGACCAACAGTCCTCATGAAGAACATATCAGTTATGGTCTTTTTGGAGCACTGGCCTACTCACCTTCGTCCCCTGGTTCTCTTGACTTTGACTTCCCAAGGAGGCCATACGCTCCTTCAGATGATGTCTATTCTTTGTACTTGGATTGCTCTCCGAGAAGACAAGTTCCTGTCGGTCCAAATCATCAAGCCAGCATTCCAATTTGGAGAGGAAACATAAATGAGAAAAAGGTAGATCGGACAATGTTTGAATCTGAAGCTTCCTTCTCACGTGCATTGTTGCCAGATCTTGTTGATAATTACAATGAGGAAAGGCTGATGGGAACATTTGTCACACCGATGCCTGACTCAAATTTACCCTCCGAAGAAGATTGTGAGGTTGGAACTGGCAGAACGGAATGTGACTGCCTAGATGCAGGTTCAGTTAGGTGTGTGCGACAGCATGTCATGGAAAAAAGGGAATCTTTGAGAAAGTCCCTTGGAGATGAAAAATTTGTAAATTTGGGATTTTGTGAGATGGGAGAGGTGTCATGTAGATGGAGCGAAGAAGAGGAGCACACTTTTCATGAAGCTGTATACTCCAACCCTGCATCACTGGGCAGGAACTTCTGGAAGCACTTGTCTGCACTGTTCCCCACTCGAACTAGAAGGGAAATTGTCAGCTACTATTTCAATGTGTTCATGCTTCGCAAACGAGCTTCCCAGAACAGATCTAAGTTGCTAGAAATTGATAGTGACGATGATGAGTGGCATGAAAACAATGGAGGTGGTGGCCGTGAAGCTCGAGATTTAGAAGGTGATGAAGACTCTGCAATTGAGTCTCTTGTTGATCAAGATGACCAGCAGCCTCATGAGGATCTCTCTGAAGAAGAAAGTGAAGATGATGAAAGCAGTGATGGTGGCGATGATTATGATGGTAACGTTGGACATGGTACTGGAGACGTGGCTTTAGAAAATGGTACAGTAGATCATATATCAAAACAATTCACTCCAGAGTTTGTTGATGGGTGTAAATTTCACCCTGTAGATAAGATTTCAGATAGTTTCCAGGACGATTGTGTTTTCCAGGATGACTCGTGCATGTCTTTCGAGTGTCCGACCAACATGTCTGACTCATGTGGTCCAGTCGATGGTGAAGCTGCTCTTAGAGGGAGTGAAACTAAGAGTGAGAATAGCAGATGCCGCCATAGCGAATCAGATGCATCTCCTGGCGTGGTCGAAGATCATCTGTATTTACCGGAGACCTTGGATGCTAAAGTTTGGGATACGAGGTATTCTACACGCCCGGTTAAAAGTTTTGATCTTCTACCGTGGAATATGATTGAAGACATCTTTGGGGAAGGCAAGGATGATCCGAAGACAAGGGATGGCCAGGACTAAGAGCATTAGCCAATAGTTTTCCAGACAAGTTCAGTGCAGCTTTCTGAGATCAAACTCGTGAAGGTTGTCTGGACAGTAAACAGTCAAAGACTAGATATAATACGCTAGGGAACATCTCAAGCGTTGGAGATTTTTTTTAATTTTTTTTTTAATTTTTGGTTCTCCTTTTTACAATGTACCCCCTTTTTTTTTTTTTTTTTTTGGAACTCAAAATTCCTTGTGGTAAATATTCTCTTCACGATAATAAGATGCATTTTTTTCTCTTGCTTCTCTAGAATTTCAATATGATATAGGGAATAACCCCTCTTGAAATGGTTAATGCTCTTCGTTCGGCAACACTTTGAGTGACCTTTTGATGCTTTTGTAGTGCAATTGTTTAAAGCTCTAACATCAACTCCGTAGAATGGCTCAGGTGTTGTGAAAAGATCCAAACCAGAGAGAAGCTGTAATACGTATCCGGTTCCTCCTTGAGAACGGAAAGTCTCACAAGAATCGGACCCTTATTTTGGAACTTCATCCAATATTCTTTGTAAAGTCTAACACCCATGTTTTCAAGCTATATAATATTCAAATATAGAAAAGGTGGGCCATGAATCAACCTCGCTTGGAATAAACTAAAAGACTAGCATAACTTGCGGTCTACGAGAGGCATCCTTCGCCACTCTGCTCCTTATGTCAAGTCGTAGTGTGAGCGTGGGGTAGTCTCTGTTTTTTTTTTTTTTTTTTTAAATTTTAATAATGTGGAAGTCAAGTCTATAGAACTTTTAACCAAAATTGTGTTGATAACGCACCATTCATCAATGAATGTGACTATTATGATAAGATTGGGGTGGAAAAAATGGAAAATGTAAATTAATCTAAAGAAAATGGGACTTTCTCTTGTAGGCTTTTTTACTTGTAGTTTTAATTTTTGACCGTTAGATCTCATTGAAATCACACCAGATTAAAAATGTATGAAGAAAAAAAGATAGCTTTTAATACACATCTAACGACTGAAAAGTATAGAACTACCGATAGTTTATATTTGGATTAATTTCAAAAAATTTCCCTGAACTATGACTCTTTTAACACTTTGCCCTCTGAATTTTAAAAAGTAACATCCGTTCTCCATAACTTTGTTTCGTTAACTAGTTTTTCCCTTTTGTTACAATGAGTGACGAAATTCACCACGTGTCAGGCACATGACTTATCTGATGAGGGTATTATTGTAAATTAACCTGTCAAAATTCTTCCAAGCGTTAAAGATAGAAAACCCAGATCTTGAACAACATAAAGATCAGGAAAAAAAAGGAAAAACCTTGAATCCAAGACGGAATCATCGGAGTGTAAAGGCTCCAGACATATACTGCAATAGTCTTTTTTGAAGTTGTTGTTGGAAGGAGGAGGCGATTGTGATGAAGACGAAGACGAAGCTATGATCGCCATTGAATTCTCTGCATAACCAGAAGAAGACGAAGACGAAGAAGAAGCAAAAGTCGCCATTGAAGAGTGAAAGTGAAGGAGTGATATGCAATGTTGAAGAGAGAGAGAGAGAGAGAGAGAGAGAGAGTTTATGGAAGAGAGAAGAAGTA